TTATACATAAAATGCGTTTTTAAATTTTGATATTATTACTTTTTAGTTTCATGTTATGAAAGATTTAAATACAAGATTTTTTTAAGATACAAATTTTTCGTTTATAATGATGATGAAGTCGTATACAATTTTAATTTGTCGTGACTATCGATATGTACATATATATAGATCATACAACTTTGATCTGAAACTTTTGTCTGGAAATGCGTTTTTTTTAGAGGTGAGTAATTAAAATTATAGACATGTGTGTGCGCGCATATGCAATGTATGTGTGCCATAGGTATATATGGTGTCCGATAAATTTGAACAATAAAATGATCGTGTATAGATAGAGCGGACTAAACTGAGTCGAAAAGTCTACCATTTTGCAATTTTCTCAATAGTTAACAAGATATTAATTACTAAAAATTGTCGAATATACAGTGTTAATTAAGTATGTTGCTATACTCAACAGAGCGATTCTTTGGTTTATTTCAAGTAAAAAAGTTCATATAAACATGTGTCCTAAACGGCTTAGTTTCCGAAATAAAAAAATTTAAACGTGTAGTAATAATCTGTTTATTTGAAAGAAATACAGCTTGAACTGATAAAAAACTAGTCAAAAACAGAAAAACAAAAACAGGCTTCAGTTCTTTTGATGAAGTAAAACAATTAGATGAATTGTTGAAAATGTCCATCTTGCGTCATCGAGCCTTCTTCTCAAAGATTGACGTACACGCTCAAAGATCAAAACTGAAGTCTATTTTTGATTTTGTGACCTTGACTTTGACTTTATCACTTTATTTACGGTTGTGCGAATGGTAACTCACGTGAAGCAAGGCATATTTATGCAGGAAGATATCTTCAACGCAATTTATTGTTTCGTCAAACATTTGCGAACATTTATCTGTATTTCAGAAACTAAGCCGTTTAAGATACGTGTTTATATGGGCTTTTTTACTTGAAATGAACCAAAGAATCGCTCTGTTGAGTATGGCAGCATACTTAACTAACACCCTGTATATTATTATAATCTTGAATAATTTTTTACTCAAATACTATCAACTTTACAGAAAAACAGCAAGAGACAAAAATTGTTTATTTTCTTCTCATAGATCCGGTAAAAAGTTTTTCATGCATGAATATATATAAATATATATAGACATACATAAACATAAATATTCATAAACATATGTAATTATGTATGAGATATATCCATGTTCATACATCCTTTTTTTCATTTGTAAAATTACTTTTTAGTGTACTAAAAATACTAATAATAATAAGAAAACATAAAAAATAATTAAAAGGAAAATTTTCGCATCGTTTGTTTTAGAAAAAAATCAATTTTGGAAAAATATAAAAGAATTACTCATATATAATTGCATGTAAAATTATACATAGTTATATATGAGCAAAGTTTGCATTTTTCCAAATTTTATTTTTTCTAAAACAAATAATGCGAAAATTGTCCCATTAACTATTTTTGATGTTTTCACAATATTATTATTATTTTTAATACACTAACAAATAATTTTACAAAAGAAAGAAAGATATATGGATATATTTCATGTATAATTATATTTATGATTATGAATATTTATGCGTATTTAGATATGTTTATACATATTTATACATATTGATGTATAAAAAATTTTTTACCGGGAGCTTTAAGGCCGGAATCCATAGTTAGGTCTTAATCTCAAGCAATGTCTTAAGATGCTAATACGGCTGTCTGATTGGTTCATGCACTACCTTAAGACCATCTTGAATCTTGAGCAACGTCTATGGATTCCACTTTAAGAATTTTTTCAGAATTTTTTATCAACTTTGTAGTACTGCATTTTCTTATTGGTAACTATTTTTATTAACATGAGAAAAGAGCGGTATTAAAAAATTCTGAAAAAATTCTCAGAACTTTATGAGAAGAAAATAAACAATTTTTGTCTCTTGCTGTTTTTCTGTAAAGTTGATAGTATTTGAATAAAAAATTATTGAAAACCAATATTCAACGATTTTTAGTAACTAATATCTTAATGCTTGCGAAAATTGCAAAACGGTAGAGGACTTTTCGACTCAGTTTAGTCCGTTCTATTTACGAGCGCTTTGTCAAAACTTACCGGACACCCTGTATATATGTACATATATATTTATTAGCGGAATCTACCCGAGGTTGCAAGCTAACATCATTTATCGTCATTTTGACGTTAAAATGACATTTAATGACGATATTTTGACATCAAAATGATGACAATAACGTCTGCTTGCTACCTGGATATAATACAAACTAGAAATTATAAATATAATAATTTCATTAATTTCATTATCATAGGCGGAAAATTTACTATCTTACAAAAACTATATTTTGAATCCTTCATAACATGAGACTGAAAAGTAAGATATTGAAATAAAAAAATACATCTTATAAAAAATGAACGATTCATTCATCATGTCTTCTGCTTACAATTTCAAGATAACATAACTCTTTTACAAAAATATTTCAAATATATCACAAAAAAGCTATTTTTGCACATTAAATCTCAATTATTTCGAAAACCTGACGTGCTAGTAAAATTTAACTTGCAGCATCGTTTTTAATATCCAAAAATCTATAAGAAATACCTTGTCTGATTAAAAAAAATATTTTTTTATGAATTAGTGTTTTTTATTCACAATTTGTGCAATGTGCGGTATCGAATCCATTTATCGACACTACGGTTTTATCAACAGTGTTGAAAATGTGATACATAGTTCACATCAATTTATAAAATTGGTGTTGGTGACACTAGTATACGGTCCCAGACAGCACAGAATATTTATGAAAATATTTATTAATATTCATTTTTTTGAAATGTTATATAGATATTTCATACATATTTTTTATATAAAGCTTTATTCGAAATATTATTAAAATATAAACCAAATATTTTATGTAATAAATGATAAATATAAATAAATATAAATAAATATAAATAAATATTTCTAAAAAGTATTTTTTACTTGGATTATAATATATCATTAAGTATTTTCATAGCATTTTACTATAACATTTACAATAAATATTTGATATTATTTATAATAAATGTTGATGGTCTGTGCAATCTAAGAGACAAAAATATATTTACAAAATATTTAAAATAAATCTTACAAATATTTTGTAAATATTTTATAAATATTGTGTGCTGTCTGGGTTGTATATAAATGGACATATTTTATATATAATTATGTATGATTCTATATAATTATATAGTGATGGGAGAAAGTTCCGTAACGGTGAAATATCTTGGAAAATAATGATTATGGAAGAAAATGTTCAATACAAAAGCACACAAGGACTCACTTTGATCAAGCATCTCGAATGATCTCTAACACACATATACACACAACAGTGAACTGTTATATAGGAAGCAATTTCTCACTAAGCTGGTTTGACAAAATATATCTTTTACGAGATGTGTGTGTGTGATATAAGATATACAATCTATGAAGAGATAACACATCAATGTCCACTTCGTAATGAGAAAATTTTATATATACTAATTAACAATAAAGAAATCTCTAGAATTTCTTTAATCAAAATATTTTATTGCAATAAATGCTGGCCGCCATAATTATAGCAAATAAAATCAGTGATGCAAATACATATTTTACTACCAGATCTGTTAAACATTACATATGTAATATTAAATACTAGAATCTCGTCATTAAATACTAGAATACTAGAAGAGATGAATATCCGACTGTGCCACCTCCACGCGGTATACCTTAGATAACCGGCGAAACTTTGAAGGTTCGTAACTCAAGAAGATCTCAAGCAAAAAGGGTTTGTAACCAGTGTTTCGGAAACGTCTTGACACCAGCTTTAAGAATATGTAATAGAAAATAAGAGTTTCCATTTAAGATTTCAAAGTTGACCTTCACGGTATCCTTCAAGGTCACACGAAAGTCATTTTGATATAACCATATAATAGACCACTTGATATACTAAAACTTTTGTATTGAACATTTTTTTCCATAATCATTATTTTCCAAGATATTTGACCGTTACGGAATTTTCTCCCATCACTGTATATAATTTTACATATAATTTTATAAAATTTTATATATAATTTCATATATAATTATATATAAATCAGAGCTGTCCAAGGTCAGTTTTTTGGCTTGAAAACGAAATGTGTCGGTATTCACACTATTATTACCGTTCCTACTCCTTACTTCATTGTTGTTTTGTAGTAGCGCATGACGCTCGGTCTCAGGAGGGAAAGAATTGAAGTCCTTAGGTGTACGACACTAGTTTGAAATCATTAAAAATTTTTAACTTGTGTTTTTTAACGACAAAACAACAATAAAGTGAGGAGTAGGAACGGTAATGAGCGTGGAATACCGACACATTTCAATTTCAAGCCAAAAGATACCGACCTTTGAGAGCTCTGATATAAATATATATAATTATATACAATTATGTAAAATATGTCCATTTATATACAATTACATAAAAT